AAGAGTCCATATTCTGCTGCCACTTCCCTCCTTCTTTCCAGCTGCTATGAGTTGAGCAGCTGTCTTCTGGCATGCCCATCTGCCATGATTCTCTGCCTCTTGGCAGGCTCTGAGAAATGGAGCTGGCTTACTGTGCACTGAAACCTTAAGAAGCCAAAATCAATCTTTTCTCCTCTAATTTCTTCTTATCAGGTATTTGGGTCACAGTAAGCAAAAGTAGATTAACATATATATATTAACGTTCAAAATGTTTAATATACAAAATAATTGTCTGATAAATAGTTTAAATAAATACATAATTAAATATTGATTGCTGAGTTTTCAGTGTCCCTTTGTTTTAACAGAAGTAATGCATTAGTTTTTTTTTTTTTTCAGGTCTCAGGTATTTGTGTTGGCCCTTGAAAAAACCGACATGCCTATGCACTGTGCAGATAGTGTTTTATAAATAAAATATCCCTGAGCAAAGAAAGGAGTAGGTGAAAAATCAAGGGACCACAGATTAATCCCTTCAGGATGTTTGGGTACCATTGATGGGCAAGGCTTGCAAAATCAAAGTAGCATGGAAAGTTGGCCCTTGTTCACTTGTCTGATAGTAAAGTCATCATTTAGTGAACACTTACTATCTGTCAGGTACTATACCAAGTGCTTACATGGGTTATTTGTTCAAGTTTTATAACAACCGTCTCTTTATAGATGAGGAAAGGCTGAGAGGGGGTTAACCCTAGCTTGAGGCCACACAGTTAAAGATTGCCAGGGCTAGAAAACCCAGAAAAATGACTATTTTCTTAAGTTTGTTCATCTATCTGATAGGAGAAGTAACATGAAGTAACATGATGGCTTTGTTAAGAAACTGAGGCCCTGTAAGGTGAAATAATTTTCCTGAGACTGGATGTGAGTTTATGAAGTACAAGATAAGAACCTGGATGGTTCTCTGGGATCTCCGTTCACTTGTCTGCCTGCTAGGATACACAAAGTCAGCTACAATTATCAACGACACGGTGCTTTTATTAGTTACCCATCCATCCATTATCCACCTAACATAGTGTTTTAGAAAGAATCTGACTGGACCATTTTCTAATTTTATTATTGGAGCCATTATTGAAAACCTCACATACTTTGGCAATTTATTACACTGAGGTGTCTCTGGAAGAAGAGGTACCTTCCATCTCTCACATAGAAACAATTATAGAACCCACAGT